TTGTTAGGACATGTGGCAACTAGAGAGTCAATTTAGTACCCCACCAACAAAAGTGGCTGAGAAGATTCAAGAGATCGTTCCTAACTTCCAAGAGGCACCCAACAGCTATAAATCCATTGACAAGTTAAAGAAAGGGCATCTAAACCAACTCAAATCAACAAAACTGCCAATTGACATTAGTATCATCTAGCTTTAGCAATTAGCATTAATTCAAATTCAAGGCATCAATGCTTTAGTTTATGGTTTATGGCACCCGTGCCATTTCGATTAATTCTTGTCATCCGTGGCAATTTGTTCTTGTCTCAATTGTATTTGCAATCCATTGTAATACAATTGTTTTTCATTGAAACTTGTTCCTGTTACTTTGGGTATTTTCAATCCGTTTGAATACATTAAGTTTGGGAAATTCTTGTTTGTGTTTCCTCCTACCATTTCTTCTTTCTAACTTAAAACCCTTAGGAAATTTTAAGTTCTCTTCATTGAGGCAAGCAAAGAACCATGAATCTTTTTATCCCCTTGGGCCTTGCATAATCTTATGTTTGGAAGTTAGAAGATCATCCTAAACAGCTAGATGACCTCCTAAATCTTCTCAACTACTTCTGTTGGTGGGTGCTAGACTGACTCTCTTATCCCCTTGGGGCTTGCATAATCTCCTATTTATAAGTCAAAAGATCATCCTAAACAACTAGATGACCTTTTGAATCTTCTCAACTACTTTTGTTGGTGGGGTACTAGATTGACTCTCTTATCCCCTTGGGGCTTGCGTAATCTCCTGTTTAGAAGTCAGAAGATCATCCTAAACAGCTAGATGACCTCCTAAATCTTCTCAACTACTTTTGTTGGTGGGGTGCTAGACTAACTCTCTAGTTGCCACATGTCCTATGAACAAGATTTGAGGCCCAAATATCTCGAACACGTGCTGAATTATCTCCTGTGTTGAATTTGTTAATTTGCAGGAGTAATAGTTGTTGCCACTTTTTGGCCGTTGAATCATAGGTAGTGGGACTCCAAATGTGATGTGGATGAATGACATGTGTCATAACCACCAGACCAAATCTCAAGATTATAGCTCCATGGTGGTTTAAATGGAATAATGGTCAATAACTATCTCCTAAAATATAGGAACACATTTTGCTGCAGATAATATCTCAACCTATTTCCTATATATTAGGAATCAACCACTATCATTAGCTGATAAGTATACTTGATGAAACTACCAAGTACCTTCACTTTCATGGGTCACTCGTGCCATGTGTTACCTTTTGATTTCGAAAAATCACTTTAGAGATGCTTCATCAAACTTTTCAAATCTAAAAATTTACTAGAGCTACCATGCACATCCATTTATTTGCATGACCAATGTTACGTGGAATTATCTGACAAGGTGGTCATTTTCGGTACAAACACAAGCATATAAGTTTTTATTTTTCGTAAAACTTTTCATTTAAAACAACAACAAATATGAATAAAAGCATTTATATTGCAACACCATAATTAAAAGTATACAATTTTTTCATTTGTAAAAATTAAATTCATGAACAAGCAATTTATATCACATGTACTGTAATAAAAATGTAAACACAAGAAATCAAAGAAAATTAAAAATTAATAAATGTACCAAGTATTGGTGTAACTAATGTTGAGCAATGAAGAGTTAGATTGCAAATTGACACAGCCAATGAGTACAAGGAAGGTACAATCATTGATGACCAATTTGAAGATTGAGAGAAATTCGAGTCACGCACTGTGAAAGAGTCAAATACATGGGTAAGATTGAATGTGAAGAGTTAGAGACGATAGGAATCTTTATCCGGTAAAAGTCTAGAGAGATAGAGAGTGCTGAGAAAGTTGGAACACCATAGGTTGGTCTCACCAGGATAATTTGTCAAAATACATCAAGGTGTTGAAAAAAAAACTTTTTGTCTGAGCTTATAGATATTGATGCAGACTATAAGAAGCTCAGTGAAGGCTAAATTCAAAGAAGCGGCGATATTGGAAAATTGGAATGGTTTTAAAGAGGAATCGATAAGAACCATACATAATCATGTTTCTAGTATTATTATAATCCTATTATGATTATTTTTATGTTTCTAGAATGAGAGGTGTTTTGATAATTTTATATTTGCTGACATGGGCAGTAGGGGTCACCCATGGGTTGTCTTATAGGTCAAGTTATTTAATTAGTTTTTGTTTATGTTTCTTATTTGGTTGTCAAAGATATTTAAGCAGTTTTCTTTTTTGGTTATAGTTGGTTTAGGAAGTCTCTAAAGTCTATATAAAGTTATGTAATGCTTCTAAATTTGATAGAATTAATATTTTAGAGAATTTTAAGAGCTTTTGAAGTTTCTTTATGGATTGTGTGATACAGTCAAACCTTAGGTGTGATGCCTAAGGAATTCTAGGAGTGATTCATATGCCTATCTTCTTCTCTTCTTTCTTTTTCTTTTCTGTTTCAATTTATTATTCTTGGATTACTATTCACAGCCCTTGAAAAGTGCACTTTTCAACCTCAAAATCCCATCCAATCACCCCCAAATTAACCCTAATCCCTTCGCCTACCTATTAGCCTTTAATTTAACCCTTAAAGCACTAAAGTACCCACTGTTTACGCTGTCAAAGAGCCTCTGTTTTGAAAATCCAGCGCTGTCCTAGATCACATATAGTTCTAATTCTTTATAATTGATTTTCACTTCTTTGATCCAAAGAATTTTAAGGGTTTTGTATCCCAATTTGCCCTATCTATTCTTTCCATGTGGCATGGCATTTTGGCATATTCAAATTTTGGGGGTGTTTGGCAAGAAAAAAAATAGCCTAGTTTAGGCTAAAATTCACAAAAAGACAAAATAAGCTAAAATAGCTAATAAGACAAAATATCACATCAAACCCATAATCATTTCACTTTTTCTCTCACATTTTCTCTCACAAACATCACATCCAACCACAAAAAAATCCAATCATCTTCCCAAACACAAAAATTTTAACCTACTAAAATAGTAAAAAACTAAAATAGCCTACTAAAATAGCAACTTCCCAAACGAAGCCTTTATTTACTCTAAACCCTTCATAGTTTTCTTTCCTCCCTTTACATTCATTTGTTTTTATTATCATGCTAATTTATTGATTGAGTTATAGAAGCTTACTGTATTTCTATGTAATTCTTTTTCTTTAATGCAAATTTGTTCCACTGCCAGGTGATTTACCATTTCATATCTTATTTTATAAACATAGGACTTCACAAAATTTGGAATAGTTAGACATATCACTATGCCACCAATACCATTTTTTTTATACTCTTGTTCATACCCTCACATGTAATTAAGTATTGGTTTGATGTCTAATGTCTATAGTAATGTTGATGTTGACGCTCTCTTATGGATCAATTATCAAAATATTCAAATATGTGAAATGTAATGCTTTTTTGTAGAACCACTAGTGAGTGGAGTGCACGTAAAATAGCCTATGAAAAAGGTATTGATGCTTAGGTAAAGAAATATAGAAGGTTACAAGCATGGTTGTTAGAATCTTGTGATTCATATGATTCTTTCAACCAAAAAGATTTGAGTTGTATTGTCGAATCTTAAATTGAGTGATCGTACGATTCATTTGTGATTCACTATGATTCATTGTGATTTTCTACGATTTACTACAATTCAATTCTGTTTGCATAATGCATAAAACAGCGTTATTTTCACAAAACAAAAAGGATATCAATTAATCGTATTGGTATACATGGTTTTATATGTATATACATATAAATTAAGTTGTATTGATATTTATTTCATTTTATACACTTTTTTTAATATGTATATATATAATTATATATTATGCTAAATATTGTGAATCTTGCAATTCATGATTTGCTATTCACTATTTTGGCAAAATGATTCATGATTTGACAACAATGATTACAAGTGGAAGATTTGGTCAAAGTTTGAACCTAAATGTAAAATGCTACACTCAAGTATAATGTACATTTTTCTCTATTTGCACACTTGGATGAAATGTTTTCTGCAATAGAAATAGAATCGAGCACTTCAAATTCCAATTTATCTATAGCATTGCCGCCACATTTAGCGAGACTATTTTGCGACCACCTCCACTTTCTAGACCTGGCAACTATACCCACTTAAGGCACTACATTTTCTCTGGCCACCTTTTTTTTTTGCAAAACATCGTTGCCGTATCCTCAACATTAGCTTTGATTTTGGTATTGTGACTACGGCCTCTATGCTGTCTATTGTTACTTGGATGGGTTTGATCTTGGGAGAATTACGGATAAGTCGTGCTTTTTCCTTAAAAGTACACCAGGAGTCCTATAAACTTTTTTAATGACCATGAAGTTCAACTTATTTATTTATTTATCCAATGAAGTTCTAAATTCAATAAAATTCCTCATTTATCCTTCTTGTAGTTTAATTACACAATGAGATACATAATTAAAATGGATAGTAAATAAAAAAAACAAAGTAAAAAATATTTAGTCATATCCTATAAATTTATTTTTTAAATGCTGTTTTCATGATGTTTAGACAAAAAAAAATATTAATTAGCATCATGAAAATAGCATTTAAAAAGTAAATTTATAGGATATGACTAAATATTTTTCCTTTGTGATTTTGTTTACCATCTATTTTAATTATTTATCTCATTGTGTGGTTAAACTATAAGATGGATAAATGAGGAATTTTATTGGATTTAGCACTTAAATTGGACAAGTTTTAAAAGCAGAACTTATTGGTCAGTAGAAAGTTTGTAAGATTACTTTTAAGAAAAAAAGTACAATTTTCTCTTCGATCTTTTATTAAGAAGGTCAATGTTGTTGACTGCTCTATGGCCAACTTGCCACAGGTCAGAGTGACACAGTAAATTTTCGGGCTGGCGGTTTGCTGTGCCTCTTATGATGTGGTCTAAGAACTGTAGTTCTATTATTCATAGGTGATCTATGTAATTGATTGTCCAGTGAAAAAAAAAAGAAAAGAGTAATTGGTTGTTAACCTCACAGACATGGATCAGCTGGCAGACACCCCCACCCGCTGCTCCCACCACCGTCGCGCCCAGTTCGCGACCTTCTTCCGGTTCCCCGACGACATCCTCCTTGACGACTTCCAACCTCTTCTCCTCCTCTCTCCAGATCATCGGCCACTACCGGAACCACCGCAAACAACAACAACAACAATGGCTTCAGTGATGGTGGTGGAGCCGAAACCCTTACCCAATCCACCAGCAACCCTCCCAGCCATCCTCCCGGATCCCTACTCCAGCTCCGACGACGAAGACGACCTCTACAGCCGGCTGAAATCCCTGGAACGGCAACTGGAGTTCATCGAGATCCAAGAAGAGTACGTGAAGGACGAGCAGAAGAATCTGAAGCGCGAGCTCCTCCGTGCCCAGGAAGAGGTCAAGCGGATCCAATCTGTCCCCCTCGTCATCGGTCAGTTCATGGAGATGATTGATCAGAACAACAGTATTGTTGGTTCCACCACTGGCTCCAATTACTATGTCAGGATTCTCAGTACCATTAATCGCGAGCTTTTGAAGCCCTCTGCTTCTGTTGCCTTACACCGCCACTCCAATGCCCTCGTTGATGTCTTGCCTCCGGAGGCTGATTCCAGTATTTCGCTGCTCAGCCAGTCCGAGAAGCCTGATGTTACCTATAATGATATTGGAGGTTGTGATATTCAAAAGCAGGAGATCCGTGAAGCTGTTGAGTTACCTTTGACTCATCATGAATTATATAAACAAATTGGAATAGATCCTCCTCGGGGTGTTTTACTCTATGGCCCACCCGGCACTGGTAAAACCATGTTAGCTAAGGCTGTTGCTAATCATACAACCGCTTCCTTCATTAGAGTTGTTGGCTCAGAATTTGTTCAGAAGTATTTGGGCGAGGTATGCTTTAAAGTTTCTCTTTATAACTGGTATTTTCTTTTTGTGTGCATTGTCCACTGCAGCCACCATCACCATCACTTAATTGTTAGCAAGAATTATCCTAGATCACTACCGCAATGAGTTGCTACCATTCCCATGTATTATTATTGGACTCCATATACTTCTATTTATAGTGTTATATTCATATTCAATTTAAGGAAGAATTGGTTCTGAAGTGCCCAATATAAATGTTAGGGCTAAAATTCTACACATTAACAAAATGTACCAATTCTGCAAATCTAAGGTAACGTTTGGTAGGGTTTTAGAATTATGATTTGAGAAAAGAGTTGTATTTTGGGTTTGTGAGTTTTAGAAATATGATTTGAGTGTGGAAAATTTGTTTGGTTATGAGTTTTGAAAAGAATTTTGAATTGAGTTTGAAATTTTTGATGTGACATATGATATTTGATTTAAAAACTTATAACTCATAACCAAACACGACCCAAAATTCTATTCGAAACTCATAAATTTTTTTTAAAAAATTTTGAAAATATTTTTTATTTAAAATATAAAAAATAACAGGTGCTAAAAAAAAAAAAAAAGCCACCTGTTCCGGTCAACCGGCGAGACGTCCGGGGGGATGACCGGGTAGACGTGTTTTGAAAAGTGGGTATGGAATCAATTTTTGAAAGCTCAAACTAAACACTACACTCAAACGAAGGGGTGGAATCAACTTTTCAAAGCCTCACCAAACACAGCCTAAGATTCTCAATTCTTAGAATAAGAAATCAGTGGACCAATTCTAAAGCAATTAAAAAAATGCACCCTAGAAGTTGTAAAGTGTGAACCCTACATGTTGGTTAATTCTTGGAAGATTTATACCCAATTTGTAGATATATTTTGCCGGGTATTCTAGCATCTACTTTGTTGTTCTTATAAACAAAAATGTAATGGAAATGTGGAGTTTGACATGTGGTTTAAATATGACTTGCAACCGCACTTGTTCATGGAAAATGATGTCACATGTGTGGGTTGCTGATAAAAAAAAAAATGTCACATGTGTGGACCTTTTTGTCTGCAGTTTAGTTTGCTTCTTACACCACACTTTAGTATTAAGATCTTTAGCATTTCCTGTTCCCTGCGTGTTTATTTATTTTGGAAAAAAAATGCTTATAATTGATTGCACCATTTCTTGGATGGTAATTACTATTTTGCTTTTCCTGAAGTACTTAATTTTTTCTCGTACTTTGTGCAGGGCCCTCGAATGGTTCGTGATGTTTTCCGCCTTGCCAAAGAAAATGCCCCTGCAATTATCTTCATCGATGAGGTGGACGCTATCGCCACTGCTAGGTTTGATGCTCAGACTGGAGCTGACAGAGAAGTTCAGCGAATCCTCATGGAACTCTTGAATCAGGTAGGGTAATGAGCTGTGAACGCTGGTGTGCCTGAAGGACCAACTTCATATATGCAAAACTATGGCTTTGGGTTTAGAGGATCTTTGCATGATGATTGAACACATACAATGCTCTTCAAACCTGGATGTTACATGTTCTCTTGCTGACCTTTGTGTTTAATATATGTGTAGATGGATGGGTTTGACCAAACAGTGAATGTTAAGGTTATAATGGCAACAAATCGAGCAGACACTTTAGACCCTGCACTTTTGCGTCCTGGAAGGCTTGACCGTAAGATTGAATTTCCTCTGCCTGATAGACGGCAGAAGAGGCTTGTTTTTCAGGTTAGTCTTGGGTTAGACATCATTAGTATTGTCATATTTGCTGGTTTTTTTTTTTTTTTTTTTTTTAGAGGGTAGCACTTAAATGTTTATGGTTGTTATGAGTTCTCCCCCTCACCCCTTGGGCAAAAAAAAAATTATGTTAGGTTCTATACGAGATTTCATTGACCTTAGCTGCTCTTTTGCCAACTAGATGGGCTTTTACTGTTTCCCCTGCAGGTTTGCACTGCCAAAATGAATTTAGGTGATGAGGTTGACTTGGAGGACTATGTTTCTCGACCAGATAAAATCAGTGCTGCTGAGGTTAGTTGATTTTATCTTTATGTAATTTTTGGTTGAAAAATAAATTGAGAAAGCTATTCTATTGCTGTACTTTTATAACCATCGAAGAGGGCTTTCTTTTTTAACGTCTGTTGAAGATGTTCATTATCTTGGATTATGCATTTGTTTACACCTTACAGTGTTCTGCAAGATCGTTTTGGTTTTAAGCATGGTAATGTGAGACTGCCTGAAAAACTTGGTTTCACCATTGTGATTTTCTTTGTACAGATTGCAGCTATTTGTCAAGAAGCAGGGATGCATGCAGTCCGGAAGAATCGGTATGTCATACTTCCAAAGGACTTTGAAAAGGGTTACAGAACCAATGTAAAGAAGCCTGATACCGATTTTGATTTCTACAAATGATGATAAATCTCAAGTAGACTTGGACATTTTGCCATTCACTCCCTGAGCATGTTCTGTTAAATCTAACATCTGTGATTCTGTCATCCATTTAGCCACCAAATTGCTCCTTCTTTTTTATTAAAAAAAAAAAATTGTTTATATATATTTTTAATGCCGAAATTTGTCTGCTTCCTAAATGCGCATTCAGAAGGCATTTAGAGGGTGGTTATGGATGATTTTTTTGGCATAATTGATCGAAAGCTTGCTTTACGTTTGCTGATATCTTATTGGAATTTTATTTTTTATGTTTCATAATTTTTCAATTTCATTTATGCTTCATATTTGCTGGCTTAATTGAGATCTCAATTTTGGTGCGTGTGATGTGTTGGGAATAAATGTAATGTGATCGTGAAGATAATTCTTATAGTTGCAATGTGTAGGTGGTATTTTCGCATTTGTATCCTCACCACAGGAAACGGAGAGGTCGAGTTGAGCAAGTTCTTGTCACAAATAAAATTAAAAATGAGTGATCATGATAATTTACCTGTCATTAGAAGCATGGTTGGCAACACTTTTAGGAACTTTAAAAATCATGGTCGCTCATTTTTTATGCATGTGACTAAGATGATCCAAATATGGTATTATCATGTCATTAGATTAACCTGGCTGCTATGTGGGTAGGAGTTCAGTTCGGTCAGTTTTAAGGGTAAGTTTAGTATTGAATCGATTCCTTCAGTTTTGAAAGTTAAGAAATCGATAGAAACTGTGGTCTGTATCTTAGGGTTCAGTGTTATTAGTTCTATCAATTTGATGTAAAAGAGAGATTTATTTGAATTTTTAAAGAGTTTTATAAAGGCTTGTAGAATTTTATATTACAAATAAATGAAGAAAATGTATGAAAAATTGCTCACTTTAGTTTGTATCACAAAATATGAAAAACAGACCAAAAATTGAAATTTCTTTTAGTTTTAGTTAGTCAGACGGTTTCATCGATTTTTTAACATCTTTATCTGTATCCACAAATTTCTCTTACATTGTGTTTGGTTGAGGGATTTGGGGAGGGATTTGGAAAAGGAAAGGGAAAAGGTGTGTGAAAATAGGTAAAATATAGATATGTTTTATTCACATTTTATCTATTTTTTTTTATTTTTCTTTTCAAATTCCTTCTTAAATTCTCCAACCAAACACAGTAACACAGTATTAGTTAGTATTAGTTTGTATCACAAAAGGGAAAAAATGTACATCTTCACTTTTAATTGATTAAAAAAATAATAAAAAATATATTACGAATGAAATTAATGGATGGTAATTTTATAGAGAAATTAAGGCCATTTTGTGGAGCTGCATTATATGAGCCTGGGTAGCACAAACTGGTTGGGGCCTGGGAAGTGAGCCCAACCTATGGAATGTCAAAATTTGTGTACAAAAAATATAGTGAGTAATATTAGATATTTGACCAATACCTAGAAGAGTATGAGTAAGAGACGCATTATTACTCATGAGAGTAGGGGCCTAAATGGTTCAATTCGGTCTCGGTTGAGAAAAATTTAATACTAAATCAAACATTTCGATTTTGTTGATTAACAAGCCGAAACAAATTATATGTTAAGGTTCGATTTTATCTGTTTGATATAAAGTAAGGATTCACACGATATTTTTAAAAAAAATTATTAAAAGGCTTATAAAATTTGAAATTGAGAATAAATGAAAAAAACAAAATAGTGAAAGGTACCGTATAAATTCCTTTTTCCCCAACTTTTATTATAAAATGTGTATTATTGATCATTTTGCTTATTATAATCAAAGAATTAAAAGAAATACGCATTTAAATATAATATTTCAATTTATTTATTTGTTTTGGTGTAAAAAAGTTTGAAAATGAAACCCATCATATCAAAAATTAAAATTTCGATTGATCTTAAACAATCAATTCAGTTTTGTCGTTTTTTTTTTTTATGCCCCTACGTGTGAGTATGGAATCAAGTTTAGAGAAGGTTTGATTAGGTGCTAGTTTGAGAAGTCAAAAAAAGGACAAGGGTTTGAGTGAAGCAGCTTTGGATGCCCTAGACTTTCGAAGTCTTTGTCAATCGAGACAAAAAAATACAGAGCAAACTAAAAAAAAATAAAAAATAAAAAAAAAGAAATGGAAAGGAAACAAGTCCATTGCATGACATGAGTGACCAATCCTTGATGAGAAGTCAACATTGTTATAAGAGATAGTCAAAAAGTAATTGTGACTTTATGCCATTTGCTCAAGTGAGTCAAGTCTATTTATCATCTTATGTAAGTCTTTGATCCTATTTTTTAGTGGTTTTTTTTTAAAAAAATTAAAATATGAGCTGAAGAAAATAATATATTTGAAATTCTTTTTATTTTATTTTTTATAAAAAAGATATATATAAAAATTAACATGAATAAATTTTTTTTTTGACTTTTTGTAAAACGAATGTGAAAAAATCCTTGACTTTTTTTTTGTATGAGTTGAATATATATTTTTTTGACTTTTTAATATTTTTAGTAATTTTCCGATTAAAATATTCACTTGGGTTTGGAGATTTCTTTATAGTGCTTGTTGGGCTTGTAGATATGTATTTTCAGATTATAATTGCCCAGTTTAATGTCATTAATTTCTTACTGGTTGAAAAAATATATATAAAAAATAAAACAGAAGGACGAATTACAATCAACAATGTTATATCTCCCTAAAAAAAATTATAATTTTCTGATTTGTCTTGTCAAGCTGAATCAATAAACCTAATTTTTTAAAAAAAAATTTAAAAAAAGTTCACTAAAAATAAAAATAAACCAAAAAATAAAAAAGGCCCAAATATCATTCCCAAAACACCCCTAAGCATATGACGTTCTAGGCATATGTTGCTTTGCTTACATCAACTGATCCTCTTTTGTCTCACTAATTTAGATAAGTACCAAATTTTTTATTTTCTATTTTTTTAGAATAGATAAATTGTGATTATTAGTATAATTTAACTTATGTAATTATAATTTGTAGTATGTTGAGTTTTTGTAATTTTAGGATTTTTCACCACATGACTCATGCTGTTACAATATCAAATAACTGACTTTCTTTTCAGTAAAATTAATGGGATTGAAATAATTACAATCACCACAATCTTGTATATATGAATATTAAATTAAGAGTAAATTAGATTGACTTCCTTTAAGATTTGGATAAAATATAGTAAAATCAACAATTTTGAAATAATTACATTGACTTCCTTTTCAGTAAGGTTAATGGGATTGAAACTAATGCAGATTGTTTGAAGATATGAAAATAAATAAAGTAATATATTTATTTTAATATAAAAGAGATGATAATATTAATTTTTTATTCATATAACTAATGAATTTCGAATTAAAAAAAAAGAGAAAGAGTTAAGTATTATATAAACTACCTTTAAAAGAATTTAATGTAATTATATTAAATTTATAAAATTTACGATAATTTTTTTAAATTTCTAGAAAGTATAATTTACCCTTAAATTAATTAGAAGGGCAGCCGACTGGAATCAACATTACAATCAACATTTGCAAGTTGGTTGGAAAAGGGATGTAGTAGGGGAAACGTTACAATCAACATTTAAATTTGGGGCTCTAATGCTGTGTTTGGTTGGGGTTTTTGGGGTAGAATTTGGAAAAGGAATGAGAAATGTAATTCTATTTATGTTTGGTTATAATAAAAAATATATGGGAAAAGAAAGGGGGTGAGAAATAAATAAAGAAATAGGAGACCTTTTAGGACATCAATTCTATTTTATAACCAACACAGCCAAACATAGTTGGAATTTGGAATTCTATTAATTCTTTCTCCTTTTCCTTTCATTTCTATTTCCCTTTCCATTTCCCTTCCCAAATCCCCCAACCAAACACAGCGTAAAAGATTCTTCGGTACGCTCCTTGACATTTAGATCCCGTTTGTTTTGGGTTATAGGAAGGAAATTGAGATTTATAGTGAGGTAAAACTCACTAATATCATGTTTGTTTTGAGAGATGGAGAGGGGATTCATAATCCCCTCCGGACTACGAATTCCCTTGGGGAGGGGATTAGGATGGGCCTGTAGGATTTGGTATTAGAAAAATAGTCCGGCGGACTAGAAATTATTTATTTGTTTATTTATTATTTTATTTTTTACATGTCGGACATTTTTTTTAACATTAATGTTTAATTTTTTATATTTTTTGTTAAGTAAAAATCATTATTTATTTGTTTTATTTTTTTCTGAAATTTTTTTATTTTATTTTTATTTTTTTAATTTTTTTTACATGTTGGATATTTTTATTAAAACATTAATGTTTAATTTTTTTTGTATTTTTTTATTGTTTTATATTTATTTTATATAAAAATAATTTGACAATCCCTACACTAACAACTATCATCAAAATAAATACAATTTTACTTAATCCTCTCACTATCAATCCCCTCATTATTAATCTCCTCACTATCAATCCCCTCCATTTTATCTCTAAAAACAAACAGGGCCTTAAGTTTTGTGGATTTGGAGTGCTTGTTGTGTCCCAGAATAATATTATTTTATGGATTTATTTTGGAATTTGTTTTGATAATTTGAATTATTTATATTTTACAATATATTGAGTAGAATATATCTAAAAAAAATTAAATTAATCGGATATCATTAATCCTTTTATCCACTCACATTTGTATTCATTTTAATATTTTAAATCACAATGTCATTTATTTTTTAAGATACAAATGTGAATGAATAAAAATATTAACAATATCCGATGAAAGATTCAAATTAGCAAAATATGAAAGATTCAGATTATCAAAACGTCCAACAATGATTATTGACAAACAAGTGGATGTGTCATCTTTATGGCACTTCTGACCTTTTATTTTATTTTTATTTTTTTGGTCACTTTATGATAGAAAAGTATTTTTTTTAGTCCACTACAAATTTTGTTTCAATAATTTAAATTATTCATTTTATAAGACTCTCAATATTGATAATTAATCAAAAAAATTAAATCAATGCAATAATCGTAATATTTTTATTTTATTGTATTTGTCTCTGAAAAAATTAACAACAAATATGTTCTTAAAAACAAACTGCCTAATTTTTTAGACAAAGAATATAAAATAAAAACGTTACGATTATCGGGTTGTTTTATTTTTTTTAGGGATGATATATACAAAACCCTACAAAAGAAATAATTTAAATAAGCAAAACGAGACTCATAATAAATTCCACGGGTCCTCAATTATAAACAAAGAATTTGCTACACAAGAAAATGAAAAAAATAAATAAAACAATAAAGGACATTTTTC